CGGAATTAAATCAAAAGCAACATTAATTATAATTAATTAATTAATTAATTGCTACAAATTAGAAATAAGAAATTATTGAATCCAGGCCAAACGATAAGAATAGAACTAGTAGTAAATAATAAAAGTCAATAGTAATAATAAAGTAATAATAGTAATAATAGTAATAATAGTAATAATAAATAATAATAGTCAATAGTAAAAGTTTATACTGTGCAAGAGATATATTTATGTATCAAGAAATAAACACAAGTAAACATGCCCATAGATCGACGTTTATTATATAATAAGCATGCACATTGCAAAGAAAAAACTTTATAAAAAGGAAGTAAAAAAAGAGGAGTTTCCAGTTACCAGATAGGAAAAATAATAAGCGTAAACGGAACAGTAGTTCCTCCAGCACTATAAATAAAGCAATTGGAATTGGAAGCAAGGAGGAAAATTAATTTCCGAACGCGCCGTTGCGTCGTAAAGCATCGGTACGACACAGCTCGCTCGTACGACGCAGAATTTCAATTCATTTCTGGATAGTACATAAATATTTAATAAAAAAAGATAACATGATAATCTGTAAATCGAATTGAATATTTCGAAGAAATATTTTTCTATATCGCGTAGTAGAGAAATTTTGGGTTGGCAACTAAGTAATTGTCGATTTGTTCAATGAAATAAAAAATTTTTTTACTTGGAACGAAGTCTAATCTGTAATGTATTTTCAATTTTGTTCGATGACCTTTTGCCATCTCTCTGACAACATGAAAATTCCACGCTCGTAGAAAGTCTGATTTTTTTTTCGGCCAAAAACTGAGTTGAGTGAGATTTTACAGCGTCATCATCGTTAAAAGTTTTACCACGAAGGGAGTTGTCCAGGGATCGAAATAAGTGGTAATCCGATGGCGCGAGATCGAGGCTATGTGGTGGGTGTAACATCAATTCCCAACCAATATCCAACAATTTTTGCCGAGTGGACAAAGACGTGTGCGGCCTAGCATTGTCCTGGTGGAAAATGACACCTGTACGATTGACCAATTCTGGTCGCTTTTCCTTGACCGCTGCATGCAATTTGTCCAGTTGCTAACATTCACGGATAATAGAAAATAACAATAATAATATATTATATTATATTAATAATAATAATATTATTATAATTATAATATTAATATTATTATTATACTATTATTATTAATAATATTATATAATAATATATTATATTATATTTTATAATATAACATTTACGGATATCATAAAAATGGGAGTGAGAGACACCTATAACTGAAATCGGCAATTACTTAGTTGCCAACCCAATATTTTCGCGTCGAACTATTTGATAGGCTTTTCCAAAATAAAAGGAAATTAATAGGCGATAGACTTCGAGTAAAAAAACAAGGCGAATGATACAATTCAAATTCGATATATTATTTCATACATCTTATGACACATACATCGTTGTTCTCTTCTCCAGTAGTTGCGGTATCTTAATCCTTATTATTTATAATAACAACCTAAACAGTCACGTTACTTACGTCCCTACGTTTACTATATATTTGTTTCGCTTTACGTATTGGTGGTTAAGGTCTCTTTATCGCTTCTATGATCATTTCTGTATCTACGTTTTGCTCGCATCCGTGTGAAGCGTGTGATCGCGCGGAAAAGAATACGTAAGTGTTTCATGTCGTGTTCGTTTGTCGCGAGGAATTTCTCGTGTAACAGAGGACAGAGACGCCGTCTCGTGTGAAGAAAAACCAGTGTTAATTTCGTTCGTAATGTCGTCTCGGTTAAATTACGATCGACCGGTAAACATTGCAGCCCTTCGATGGAAGATTGGAAATGGTTTTCGCGCGCGCGGCAATTCCGAGGAATAATCGATGAAACGATGCAGACACGGTACACGGCAGAAAATTGATCAGAAGGATAGAAGCGAACGGTGATAAATCGATCTTTTGAAACAATCTCTGTTCTACAATTGCCCGTGAAGTGTTCGAACATCTTCTAGATGGGAGTCATTTCGTTTATTTTTTTTTTAAATGTAAGAAATTACTTGAATTGTTTTTGTTTCTTTTTTGTTGTTGTTGTTGGAGATGTTGGCGTTCGCTGAACGACGACAGAACGCATTTTTTGTAAAATTGCAATCGGTTGGAACGACCAACAAAATTGAAAAGCTCAACTTTTTTTTTATCCGAGCTTATATAGAATCAAGATTCGAACAATGCGTTTGCGCAGATCTTTGTTGACTCAAAAAGTCAAAGCTACGGGCATCAAAAAAATGTAAAACACTGATTTTTGCATTTTTTTCAATTGTTCGCAGCCCCTAACGACGTCGATCAATTTCCGTGATATTTTCATTATGCGCGTGAAATCATCGAGAGCAAGGAAACGCGTTGCTTAAATTTTCGTCCCGGATAAGAAAAAGTTGCACAACGTTTCTTTACCTTAACTTCGTCGTTCGAACGAAATTTTCCAGCTATCGCGCAGAATAAACTAAGGTTCGCCAAGGTCTCGGAAAGAATCCAAGCAATTTGTTCCAGTTTTGAAACGGTTGTTCCGTTTCGAAGGGTATCGGAACACTTTCGCGAGCCGCTGTATCTAGATCACGATCACGATCCGGAGCGAAGGCAGACGGACAGATGCCGAGAGCCCGTTGCTCAACGACGTATTCGTACGGTTTAAAAAATTTATATCCACCAATTTCAATCGCGTGTTACTTTTGCGTCTTATTATTTATACGAATCCGTCTTTATTCCGGGTCGGGGTAGGCGCGCGAACGATCGCGGGCACGGCAAACGAAGCGAATCGAGAACCGACCCGAGGATATCTACAGGGTGTCCAAAAAATGTCTCGCAATCCGCAAGTGGCGGATTCCTCGGGTCATTTGAAGCAACTTTACCCTTTACAAAAATTTTCTCCGAGGCACCGTTAACGAGTTACTAACGGAAAACAGTGACCAATGAGAGGCGAGCTCGGCTGGGGCGAGGCGACCGAGCCAATGAACAGAACTAGGCTTCGCGCGCTGGTTGGCTGGCCCGTTTCGCGTTAGCCGTACTCGATTCTTATTGGTCACCGTTTTTCGTTAATAACTCCTTAACGGTGCCTCGGAGAACATTTTTGTAGAGGAAGAAGTTGCTTCGAATGATCCGAGGAACCCGCCATTTCCGAATTGCGAGACATTTTTGGGACACTGTAGAATGCGGCGCCCGGCTCTGTTCGCGTGACCCTTCCCGACGATCCAGAATCTCGTCGTAGTGAAATGATAATACATATTTACACAGACGATCAACGTGTCCTCGTATATATAATATATATTCTTTATGTACATGTCGTGTGTGCTCCCGTGCTCCCGTTACGACGCGCGCGCGCGCGCGCCCGCGAACGCACGCGCACGCACACATATTTAACGGACAGAACTTTTTTTGCTCTGAGACTATCTTTCTCTCGAAGAAGGTAGCAATGGACTATGTGTTCAACGCGGTCGCGTCCTGAAAATTTCCGGCTAACTACGTTGACTCTTTCGAAACGGCGCACGACTATTTATATTATATACAGCAGAGCTCTCTGCCTCAAGAGACGCGAAAGAGGTGCGTTGGCAAACGATCGTTTCGTTCCATAGTTTTACAGTGACAAAAAAGAAAAGGAAAAAGAAGAGATCGACCGAACGTTCGCCGGACGTTACACATTGTCGGGTGCGAACGATCGTCGCGCGTTACGCTACTGCGTACAGTAATGTCTCCCTTACCGACGCTCGGATTGTCCACAAAAATGGACAATTTTGGGAAGAGACGTCACGATCGTTCGAGCCTCGCGGCTCGTTTCTATAGTTGTTGACGATCGGTAATTGTAATTGTATCGAATAATCGTGTCTCCTCTTGCCAAATTGTCCACTTTTGTGTACAATCCGAACGTCAATTAGGGAGAATTTATCGTAACGTGTTTTGGGAAGCACTCGTTCCGCTGGCTCGCGAGATGCACCGACGGATGCATTGTGCTCGCAGATTCGTCGCCGATGCGTGCATTCTACAGGTTGTCCCAAAGTGTCTCGCAATCCGAAAGTGTTCCTCTGGTCGTTTGAAGGAACTTTTTCCTTTACAAAAATTTTCTCCGAGGCACCATTAACGAGTTATTAACGAAAAACAGTGACCAATGGGAGGCGAGCTCGACCAATGGCGCGAGGTGGCCGAGCCAACGGCGCCAGCGGTCGATGCGGTCGAATCCCAGCTCAGCTGGCGCGAGGCGACCGAGCGAATGAACGGAACCGAGCTTCGTGCGCTGATTGGCTGGGCCGCCTCGCATCAGCCGAGCTCGCCTCTCATTGGCCAGTTTTTTGGTCGATAACTCGTAAACGAAGCCTTGTAGAACATTCCTGCTGAGGAAAAAGTTGTTTCGAATGATCCGAGGAACCCGCCATTTCCGGATTGCGAGACATTTTTGGTCAATATTTATATTTTTCACAATATAACCCTGTATAAATGCATGCGTAACTATCAAAATGAACCGCAAGGATCGGATAATCGTATCATCTCTACCTAAATTGTCCATTTTTGTAGACGATCCGAGCGTCGATTAGAGAGACATTACTGTACTACGCGCGAAAATAAACCGCGCGTCGGATGAACAAGAAATGTACAAACAATTATTCTACTCCCCCCTCTACCAAGAACGCGCTCCTCCACCGAAGGATAATCGTGGTGGATCCGAAAATCCCCGGCTCCCCGGTGGATCCGATTTCCGTTTCGACCGCGATCACCAGGCGTGGCCGACGACCGCGGTTCCATCGATAACGTTATCAAATTGCACGCAAGAATTGGGAAACGGTGCCGGACCGAGCCCGAGAGGTCGACCGGTAAAACGCAGTTGTAACTTGTATCGAGCAAACGTGATCCCAAAAGGAACCCGAACAACGATATGTACTCGAATCTTCGAGACAACTGGGAGAGACGCTGGCCAATCGAAATTTCCCGTGCTTATCGTACGATATGTGACCCTAACGAACGGAACTTAGAACTCGAACATGCTACGGGAGACACCGTACCCTCGATTCACGATACAACTTTATTCATATCCCAGGAACAAATACATGTACATCGATAAAAATTCGACTACTCGGTGTGGTTCTATTCTCGAACGCAAGGAAATAAGTGAAGGATCCGCCGATGGCTCGACGCGGTCGCGATCTAATCAACGATTCGTCTCGCCCGGAAAGAACAGTCTTCGGCTGCGACCGGCGCTCGGTGCTCGCCGTCGCGTTCACTGCGAGTACCGTCGACTTCCGCTTTCAGAGTCCGCCTTGTCAACTATTGTCGATGATATGTACCATAGCTTTGTTGTACCGCTGCTTCGTCCCGCCCGACTCGAGCGATTCACTTCCGATCGCCCGACCAGCCGCTGTTGTAATACCAAGACGTGGCGCTCTCGTCCCTCGTTTTGCTCCATGTATTGTCCAAACCACTTCCACCGCCGTCCTGGAAGCGGAACAGTTCGTCACGATATTAAAGATATACAAGGTGCCCCAAAAATGTCTCGCAATCCGGAAATGGCGGGTTCCTCGTATCATTCGAAGCAACTTCTTCCTTTACAAAAATCTTCTCCGAGGCACCGTTAACGAGTTATTAACGAAAAACAGTGACCAATAAGAATCGAGTACGGCTGACGCGAGACGGGCCAGCCAACCAGCGCGCGAAGCCTAGTTCCGTTCATTGGCTCAGTCGCCTCGCCCCAGCCGAGCTCGCCTCTCATTGGTCACTGTTTTCCGTTAGTAACTCGTTAACGGTGCCTCGGAGAAAATTTTTGTAAAGGGAAAAGTTGCTTCAAATGATCCGAGGAATCCGCCACTTTCGGATTGCGAGACATTTTTGGGTCACCCTGTCTCTCTCTCTCTCTCTCTCTCTCTCTCTCTCTCTCTCTCTCTCTCTCTCTCTGTCTGTCTATCTATCTTGAAAGGAGAGAGCGGTTCGCGTCGGCCGCGACTTACCACAACGTTCAGTTGATGGGACGCGGGCGACAAGTATTCCATGTTGGTATAGTAGGAGGAATAATTTTGATAGCACTGTTGCTGGGTCGAGTTTGTTGTCCACGCTAACCTCTGATGGTCACCTGGAAATCCGCCACCGTTGTCCGCTGCTACCGGACTCCAGATACTACTGCTACTGCCGCCGCTACTACTGTACACCGTGCCCCCTAACTGAAACAGAAGACACGATACCTTCAGGTTCGATCCATCTCTGACAACTCAATTGTCCATTTTTTTGCACAATCTGAGCGTCAGTTAGGGAGACATTACTGTATAACTACGTACAAACTACATTTTTAAAATGCTTTACTACTAAATATTGTTACCTTTATAAACTAATATGAAACAGCTGTTTTTCGTGCTCCGTAAATCTAATTGTTAACCGTTTGAGTCTCAAGATATATTCCGAAAACAGGGTCGAAAAGTGCCGAATAGCGTGATAGCGCTGTCATAATTGACTGCGAAGAGAATCAAGCGGCGCGATCGCTCTCGTCAAGATTGACAAACGAAACGAAAAGAAAAAAAAATGAAAAAAAAGCAGCTATGCAACGTACGCGCGTCACTAAAGTTTGATCGCGACACAAGATCTGAACAGCGGGATCGCGCTGCTTTGGACTCAAACGGTTAACAATTAGATTTACGGAGCACGAAAAACAGCTGTTTCGTATTAGTTTATAAAGGTAACGATATTTAGTAGTAAAACATTTATAAATGTAGTTTGAATGTAGTTATACAGTAATGTCTCCCTAACTGACGCTCAGATTGTGGAGATAAATGGACAATTTGGGAAGAAGAGGTACGATTATTCGAGCCTTGCGCCTCGTTTTTATAGTTGTTGAGAATCGGTAATTATAAAAACAAGGCGCAAGACTCAAATTAATTGTATCTCCTTCTCCCAAATTGTCAATTTTTGTGCAGAATCTGAGCGTCAGTAAGGGAGTCATTACTGTACATGTACAGTTTCGGAACGATGATGGACAATTTGGGAAGAGGAGACATGATTGTTCGAGCCTCCTCTTCCGAAGTTGTCCAATATTCTGCACAATCTAAGTATCATTTACGGAGAATTTATTGTAGAGTAATGCCCCCCCCCCTAAACTGACGCTCAGATTCTGCACAAAAATGGACAATTTGGGAAGAGCAGATACGATTACTGGAGCCTTGCAGCTCGTTTTAATAGCTGTTGGCAATTCGTGACTATAAAAATGAACCGCAAAGATCGAATAAACGTATCTCCTCTTCCAAAATTGTCCATTTTCGTGGCCAATCTGAGCGCCAATTAGAGAGCCATTACTGTATTTAGTAGTGTTAGTAGTTTATTTATTAAAGTAAAAACATCTATCCTGATTTTTAACAAGTGTTTGCCGTAACATTTGCCGTGTGTAACATATCAATCGAATAAACAGCTCATAAATAAATATAAACGATATGAATAATCGTAAATTGAAAAATTAGTGACCCGTCGCTTTGACTGTGCGCGATCGTACTTTTTCTAAAAATTTTGACCTCGATTCACGACTTTCTACGATTTTTATGAACCTCGGTATTAATTCGAATGCGTTGTCGATAGACGACGGATTTATGCGTTTATGGTCTACGTCTAATGACCTATGGCTAATGGACTACGTCTAATGTGCGCCACTGGAACGAAGGAAACCATTGAACGATGTCGTTACGGTTTTAATCTACTCAGATTATGGAAGAAAGAATGCAACTTTTAAGTGACTTCCACTTTTGGCAACAGTGGCTGAACATTTCTTTTTGCATTTGTTATTAACTATTTTGCCCTATTAACTTATTTTTATTTGAACATTGTTTCAGTGTTATTTCGTGCAAATGTCAGTTACGTTTTGATAATTGACTATAATTATGCGGTTGGAATATAAAGTTTAATAGGGCGTTCATAAATTCAACGTGTTTAACATCGAAATATGACTTTCTTTATCGCCTCGTGACACGCTTTCTTCTTTTTGCCACTTGTTCAGTCAGAAATTATATATGTCAAGTCTGATACGTTGTTTTCAATGTTATATACGATTTTATACGATTCAACAGTTTTACAATGTTTCGCAGTTTTTATACTACTGTCATTGTAATAACCATTTAGTAAAGCCATTTAACAAAATCACAGTGTAATCATTTAATAAAATAGTTGTCATATTATAATACAAGATGTCCCAAAGTTATGTTTACTTCTAGGAAATTAGAGATTCCTGACATCGTTCGAAGTGACTTTTTCCTCGGCGAAAATGCGATCCGCGGCTTTGTTTACAAGTTATTAACCCTAGAAAGATAACCATATGACAACGTACGTAAAAGATAACCATACGCTTCAGAGGCGCATGCTTTTCTAAGGCGTCAATTTTATACTAACAATGGATATTTATTTAAGTTAATCTAGTCATTTTAAAGGTTTGGCATTATTGTAAAAATAAAATGCATTTATATTATATTTTTTTATATTTTAAGTAATTTTAAACTTAACTAGATCTCTATGAAAAATTAACAAAAATCAACAGTCTTCGCAGGCGCCTCTGCGACGTAGGTTATCTTTCTCGGGTTAAGGAAAAACGCTGACCAAGGAGAGGCGAGCTTGGTTGACGCGAGGCGACCGAGCCAACGAACGGCCGAAGCCCAGTTCCGCTGATTGGCTCGACCGCCTCGCGTCAGCGAGCCTAGCCTAGCTCGTCTCCCATTGGTCAGCGTTTTTCCTCAATAACTCGTAAACAAAACTGTGGATCGCATTTTCGTTAAAGAAAAAATTACTTCAAATAACCTGAGGAACTCCTCGCGTTTCCCGCAATTAACATAATTTTGGGACATATTATATAATATAACAGTCACTTATTTCATATTTGAGAGGAAAACACTAGACTTAATTCAAAAATATTCTGCGCCGCTTAATTGTAATTTCGTCTCTATAACATGGTACCCATAACGCTATAAACATACATTCATGAAGAATTTACTCAATAAACATGTTTCGTCTGACATATATCATAATAAAAATTGTCAAAAGTCTCTGAATAATTAAAGTGTGAATATTCTTGTTATCTTTCTATATTAAGAATAAATTTTAATTTGACACATTAACACGTTCCGTGCCACGTGTACCATCGATGGTACACGCTTGCATGTTTACTTAGTGAACTGAACAAATTGTTTACAAGAAATTTAGAACCGAAGAATCAATTTCCACCGCAAGAATGGGCGTTGATAAGTTTTTGTTACGTTGTTATGTGTAGGAGAATTAATAATTGCACGTAATACATCAAGTTTTAGTAAAATATCAAAGTGTGAAGATTCGAGTAAAAAAAGCTCGGCACGGAACGTGTTAAAGACCGCGCCATTTTTATATCTCAATCACCAATTTCGACGGTCTATATCACAGCGTGCACGATATGCACGATGTCCGAAAATTTCGAACGACATTTCCTGTCTCGAAACGTGTACAACATATGCACGACAGCCAGTTCTTGGCAAAAGGCACCGTGCGACGGTATATACGACTTTGGACCGCCTAGAATTTGCCGATACGATCGCTAAGGCTCGCTAATTGTTGGTAGAACGTAAACTTACACTTGGCGGCGTCGTGCTAGCCGCTAGAAGTAGGCTGGTCGCGCTTCCCGGTGGTTTGTACTGAGGAGAGTCCCTTAAAAGTGCTGGAGAGCTAGCCGCCGATCCGCCTGTACCGCCGCTTCTAAAGGGAGACGAATACGAGCTTTAAAAAACAAATGTCGCAGCGTCGCGCGATGTGCGGTAATTCCTCTCGCATCTCTCCCCGGCTTTGCAACGAAAATAAGTCGGCCGGGGAGATACGATTATTCGAGAGCCTTGCAGTTTGTTTTTATAGTTACGAATTGTCAACAATCATAAACGAGCCGCGAGGCTCGAACAATCGTGTCTCCTCTCCCCAAATTGTCCATTTTTGTGCAGAATTTGAGCGTCGGTTAAGAGGAGACATTACTCTACAATAAATTCTCCGTAATCGACACTTGGGTTGTGCAGAAAATTGGACAACTTGGGAAGAGGAAAAGCGATTATTCGCGTCTCGCGACTCATTTTTACAGTCGTTGACGATCGGCGACTACAAAAACGAGTCGCGAGGCTCGAACAATCGTGTCTCCTCTCCCCAAATTGTCCATTTTTGTGCAGAATTTGAGCGTCGGTTAAGGGGAGACATTACTGTACAATAAATTCTCCGTAATCGACACTTGGATTGTGCAGAAAATTGGACAACTTGGGAAGAGGAAGCCCTATTATTCGCGTCTTGCGACTCGTTTTTACAGTCGTTGACGATCGGCGACTATAAAAACGAGTCGCGAGGCTCGAACAATCGTGTCTCCTCTCCCCAAATTGTCCAATTTTGTGCAGAATCTGAGCGTCGGTTAGGGAGACATTACTCTACAATAAATTCTCCGTAATCGACAATTGGATTGTGCAGAAAATTGGACAACTTGGGAAGAGAAGAAGCGATTATTCGCGACTCGCGACTCGCTTTTACAGTCGTTGACGATCGGCGACTATAAAAACGAGCCGCAAGGCTCGGACAATCGTGTCTCCTCTCCCCAAATTGTCCATTTTTGTGCAGAATTTGAGCGTCGGTTAAGGGGAGACATTACTGTACAATAAATTCTCCGTAATCGACACTTGGATTGTGCAGAAAATTGGACAACTTGGGAAGAGGAAGCCCTATTATTCGCGTCTTGCGACTCGTTTTTACAGTCGTTGACGATCAGCGACTATAAAAACGAGCCGCAAGGCTCGGACAATCGTGTCTCCTCTCCCCAAATTGTCCATTTTTGCACAGAATCTGAGCGTCGGTTAGGGAGACATTACTCTACAATAAATTCTCCGTGATCGACACTTGGATTTTGCAGAAAATTGGACAACTTGGGAAGAGGAGACACGATTATTCGCGTCTTTTCTCTCCAAATTATCCATCATCATTCGGAAAGCGAGAGACAATGTGGGAGACATCGCTGTATTCCCAACCCCGAGTCGACTCCCCGTGAGAAGGCGAATGTGCTACGTGTAACGCGATCTTCGAGCCGGAAAGCTAGATATTAACGTAATTGGTGTTTACAGGGGTGTTGTGGCAGGCACCGCAGCGGCTGGCGTGGGCGTGGTGGCAATCGAAGGACTTTTTCCAGAGGGTGGATTGTTGGTCGGATTCCCCGAGGGTTTCTTCGACCTCGGCGCTTTGTCCTGTTGTTGCTGCTGCTGCTTCTGCTGCTGCCTGCACTTGGCGCGACGGTTCTTAAACCATACCTGCGGAGGGAGGCCAGACGGTTGTCAACGATCGTTCCTCTCCGTCGACGAAGAGTCGCCGAGCTTGGCGAACGTGTACGGAAACGGCGCGAAACGTCGTCTCGCCAAGGAACTGGTTGGTCGCACCCATCGGGCGCGTAAACGATCGCGCGCCGCTTCGCAATCTACGCGCCGATATTAGAACGCGACCGGCATCAAATTCTATGGAACCTGAATTCCGGGAATGCTGCGCGGAGCTTTCGCAAAACCGGCATAATAGCCAATTATAAGGAAACGCAGAGCCGGCGCGGCTATCAATTACCAATAAAGCCGACTTCGACAACGCGGCCGGAAGCGCGCGCGCGCGCGCGTGCTCGATCGTGTATCCGTTCCCGGTGTTTGCGTTATCATCGAGCTAACGAAAATTGCGAGAGCAGATCGGAACGGGTCTCGATCCCGTCGATCGGGTCCAGCAACTTTCTTCACGAAGTTCTGTTTGCTTTGAACACACACGGTGCACGCGTCGATCAGGTAAGAGCCCCTCTAATTACCGGATCGCTCTCGTCCGTTATTCGCGCCGGGGGAATTTCGCGAAAGTCGTCGCCGTCGCGCTCACGCGGTCCCGGATTTCTGCGCGACATTCAACAGACCCGGCTCTCGTCCTTCGATCCATCGTTCGCCCTCCTAGATTTCCAGAACACGAGAACGACCTCGGGAGAAGGACGCGAGATAGAGACAGAGGGACGGGGACAGAGAGAGAAAGAGAGAGAGGGAGAGAGAGAGAGTCCGGGAGGGAACGAGAAAGAGGCCGGGTGGCGTGGAAGCGAGACGGAGCGGGAAGAAGACGGGGTGGCGCGAAGCGGGAGAGCAAGGAGGAGAGAGAGAGAGAGAAGGTGGCGAGAAAGAGAGGAGCCTAGAGAAGCCCTGCGCGATCAATGTTAGAAGCGGAGAGGTGAGCTTGGGTTTCTACGGATTTTCTGGGGAACGACACGAGCGGCCCGCGTTCTTCCACTGAAGCTGTTCCTCGACGTACGTTCGTACGTATTCCTCGCGGATTCTCCAGGTCGCAGCCCGTCGCCGTACGCGCGTCCCCGTAGAGGCCTCCGACTTTCCGCGTCCGCTCGTCGTTCGCCGCGAGGATCGGAGAATCGAAATGTCGCAAGGCCGACGACATTGTGCCGAGCACAGAGCCGGGAACGAGCAGGAGAGGAAGGCCCCTGCGTCTGCGGTCGGCGATCTGCCGGCGAACGTGCGCAAGACTATGGGACCGGGCCGGAGCCATTCGTTTCATTTGCGGGGCTGGGGCCAGGTGGTGTGGCCCGCAATTGCGGATGCGATGCGCCCTTTCCGGCCGTGATGAGGGTGGAATATGCATGGACACGTTCACGGACCCCGGCGGCAACCGAAAGTCGATTCGGACGACACGAAGTCGTTCGTGACAGCGTCGGACGTCGACGATTCCACGATTCGTCCTGTATCGGCGGACGATCTTTGTCACCGAAACGGTCCTATTTTGCGGCGCACAAAGACGCGCGCCGAGACACCCGTTCCGAGAAATTTCCTTCCAGGACAGGATCGGAGGTTTCTCCGCGCGAGAAACGCCAGCTTTTCAGCCGGGAAACGATACCGACCAGCGATACCGGCTCACGGGCCGAACTGCTAACTCGGTTAATACCTGCTATCCAGGAAACACGAGCGTTACGGTAAATCGATGCTGTCCACGGGACCGTGGACTGCGCGTCGTCTGCATGCCGACACTGCTTTCCCCTCGGTAACGAGACACCGACCCCTAACGAAGCATCCCTACCGTTTCCACGATAGGCGAAACCGACGCCGTTCCTACGGCGATCCGAACGATCACCGGTACCTGCACTCTCGACTCCGGAAGGTTGATCTTCATCGCAACCTCCTCCCGCATGAAGATGTCCGGGTACTTGGTCTTGGCGAACAGTCCCTCGAGAATGTCGAGCTGCGCCCGCGTGAACGTCGTCCGCTCCCTTCGTTGCTTCCTGGGGTTACCTTTAACAGAGGGATTCGACCGGTTTTGCTGGAGCTTTCGTTCGGACAGTTTCGCGCGAGTCTGATCGTTAAGTATCGTAAAAGTAGGTACAGCGAATTCACGTGAACGCAACCCGATTGCTTGGAACGTCTAGACCAGGAGCGTCAAACTCGCGGCCCGAGATGAACATTTTTGGTGTCAAGTATCAGGACGTAAACAATAATTTAACTTTATATATGTTTATTACAATGTACTAGTCGAAATAAAAATATTTGTTTCTATGAACATTGACTTTTTTTTTGCGGCCCACCTAAAGTTAAGCATTATTTATTTATTATCATGGCTCAAGTTAGCTTTTGAGTTTGACACCCCTGGTCTGGACGGACGTTGTCGCGTTAGCTTCGGAAACGCTGGTGCCGATCGAAGGGGCGACGAATGTTGGGAACGCTGTTTAGGTCGAGAATTAGGAAAGTGTTTCTCGGAATGACCGAGCGACTTTCCAACAGGACTCGACTCCGCGGTACACACCGAAGTGTGTACAGTGATTTTCGTTAGTATTTGGACACTTTTCAGAACGCAATCGCTTTTATAGAACTGGACTTAATGAGATTAATTTTTTGTTAGATGATTGAGCGATCGGTCTACTAGACCATAGCTAGAATGCTTTTTATTTAAATTTTTTGCTATTGCTTAGAATGATAAAAGAAAATACGAAACTTTCGTTTTTTAAACTTTTTTATCTGAGCCTATAACGAAAATTTAAGAGATGTGCTTTGTAGATCTCGGCAAGTTACATGCGTGTTAAATATTGCACCGAAATCGGTTGATCTTGGTACAAGTTGTAAACGATTACAGATCGCGAAAGTCACAGTTTTGTCCCGATTTTTGACACTTTCGACCAACAAGTGTTATAAATTTGCAGTCCTCTTTTAAATCTTGTAATTTGACATTATGTTTATTCTAAGTAACAGCAAGATTGTAACAAAGTAATTTAATCATTGTCTGTCCTCTAAAGAAAAAAGTATTCAAATCGTTTATGCCAGTTTTAAAAAAGTTATCCCTTTTTGAAAAGCGTCCGAATATTAATGAGAAGTCACCGTAGATGCAGCGATATATTCAAGAGAAAAAATGTTTATCCTTGTCCGAGGACACGATTTGGAGCTCGTACAAAATCCGTGGAAAATGTGTCGGAAAATTGTCGAAAGTTAATTCTGTGGCTGCAAAGAAAAACACCGCGAGTCGCAAGTTCAACAAATTTCAGTTAACGCGTCACAATTCAAGCGAACATATTCACATCGTGAAAGCAAATCCAACGAAATCGTGCAATTTGAAATGCTACCGATACGAAGCATCGGCGATCAGAGCTACAAGCGACAATATCTCGAGAAGAAAGACTTGCGCGACTTGCGGCGTTCTTCCTTGCAACTATAGAATCGATACCACGCACAAAAATCGGTACAAAAACTCATCGCTGCCAAAGGAGTGCTCCATAATGCTCCATAAAACTGCTTCTATAACGGAGCTGCTGCTTCTATAATCTTTAACGAGACGACCCGTGTTCACGTGAATTCGCAGAATACCCGTATGATAGTACAAGACAAGGGGCACTCACAGTAGTAGGACTCACCGGCGGGAGTGCAACCGGGGTAGCCGATGGTGGAGTGCAGGGCCTCTATGGGCGGCATGCCGAGGGCGCTCACGTAAGGGTTGGTCTTGAGGGCCCCGTAAGGCCCGGCCGCGGACGCGCCGAACGCGGCGGGCCCGAATAGCTCGGAGGCCGAGGTGGTGGAGGCGGCGAGGCCCCCGAGATCGGTGGCGCCGGCGCCCCCGCTGCAGCCGGATGTACCGCCGAGGCTGTTCGGCCACATCACCACCCCCTCGGCCCCCACCACGACCACCCCCCCGCCCCGCGGCCGCTTTGCTAGGACCTCCTGAGCACCTCCGAATTACCCACTGCCTCTGAAATTCAAAGCAAAGATTATCTCCTTACCGGGCGAACCTCTGGTGTGCGCCATCGGGAGTCGCGTGGATCTACGCTTCGACGAGCGTAAGAGCGGCGGGAGAGTACCTTGCGGACGGCGATTTCGAGGCTGCGAACTTTGACCGAGAGAAACGCGGCGTGGAAGCCGCGCTGCGGAAAGGAAACGGAGGATAATGGAAAGTTCGCGGTTGCTCCGCGGGAATATCGAGACCGATCGCGGAAGATGGAAATAACGGCGTCGCGGTTGGCAGCTGGTCGCGGGGGATAATCCGAGGAAGATGCAACACGACTCCGATGCTTTTCGAAACCGTCCCCGCGCGTCTCCTCGCTCCTGGTTCCCCTCGTAGACAACAGCGTGGCGAGGATAATTCCGAAAACGCGATCTCTCCTTCTCCGCCTCTCTCTCTCTTTTTCTCTTTCTTTCTCTCTCGTTCTCTCTTTCGTTCTCCGGCGTCCTCTCCCGAAAATCGAGAACCGTGTAGAAAAAGGGAACGACGAGCCACGCCGCTTTCGGGTACACGACGCAGCCTTTCCGCCTCGTGTTTAGCCGCCGCTTAAGCCGCGTTTTATCCTCTCCGATTACAAAGTCAAGAACGTCTCGGCCTATCGGCCCCGCTCCGTTCGCCTTTCGATCTCGCACCTTCGTACCCCCGGGGATTACTTGTTAATTTATTTGCCCTCCCGTTTATTACGTCTCGCGGACCGCACGTTCGACATCTGCGCCGCGACGACGACGCCCGTAGACGCGGTACGCGCGGCGTTGTTTTCCGGAGCGCTACGGGACGCGGGCCGGAGCGGCTGGCCGCCTCGCACATGTTTCGGATTAGAGACAGCTAATCGGCCCCGTTAATTAACATGTGTGCCGCGCGAAAAACAATCGGATGACGACAGTAGGCGACCGAGTGTTTCCGAAATGACTGGCCGGCAGAGCGGCGGGTTACCGGCGATTAAGAGCCGCGTGCAGGAATAAACGAAGACGCGAGCGCGGTCCTCCGCGATCATCCCGATCGCGCGGCACAAGGTTCGACGGTTCGCCGGTTTCGCCGAATGAAATTTCGCGGCGGCAAATCCTCGTCGATGATGAGGGGAGGCATTGTTTCGCGTCGGTCACCGCGCCGGCGGGGCCAAGAGGCGCTCGAATGAAAAGAACGACGAGACGCAACGGGACGCGTTGTACAGGGCGCTGCGTTCGGGGCGCTCGATTCGCGATCGTTCGGGCGAAAGTTCTTTCGCCGCAAATATGGATGAACACCCACGTCGGCCCTCGACCGGCACTCGACTTTCGCGGTGTGCATCGTGTGTCCCGTTGAGTTTATCGGCGAACCGTTCCGGAGCCGATTCCAGAACACGATTCGCCGCGGCCCGCGAAACACGCGAGCCGCGCGGCACGCGATTTCGCGTGAAAATTTTCGTGCCGCCGAAACGGCGAACAATGAAAACATGCGGGTATACGCGCGGACACGCGAGGCGATGCCACGGCCCGAAACAATATAGCCCCAAATGATTTTACCGTTTAATTGCGTTCCTGCGGCCAGGGATCCTTCCACCGAAATGAAGTTTCAGCTCGATGAAAGAGAATCCATAAAGCGCGAGCGCTTCCCCGCGACGTCTCGTCCCCGGCCGGCTATATTAAAATTTGGTCCGCTATGAAAAGAAGGCCAACGAAGAAAGAGCGGCTGCTCGCTTTTTCCCTCTCTTTCGATCTCCGTCTCTGTGTCTCTATCCGGCTCTCTCTCTCTCTTTCTCGCTCCCTCTGGTCCTCCTCCCTCTTTCTTTCACTGTCTCTCTCTCTCTCACTCTTTCGATCTCGAGGGTCCTCGTGCAGCAAGTCAGGCGCAAATCTCTCCAACTTTGTGCACTCGTGCGCTTTACACTAACCACAAAGCACTCGTTACAAGCCAGCCGGTGCGCGACCGAGAAACGCGCGCGAACAATCGCCGGAACGGCGGGCTATCGGTGTTTCGATTCTCTTCGACGGGAGTCGCGGTTGCGGTTTACCCGTTCGGTTATTTCCGGAAAACTGTGAGCAACGGCGAGCAGATTTCTCGCTGGGACCGCAGATTTCATTCGGAACGCCGCTCCGATATCGCGCGAAAGGAGAAAGGACGCGAGAAGCGCGCGGTCTCGTTTCGACGTCGGGGGCGCGCGGTTTTCTCGAAGAAAAAAAGAGCGCCGGTTGCGTGGACGAGGGAGGCCGACATTCGCCGCGAATCTGCCACACTTATTTACACTGGCGTGATATTAAAAAGCCCGCCGCGGAATCGAAACGTTTCGCGTACCGAAGGGGAAGGAGAGCTGCGAGAGCAGCCGCGCGTTCGAGAATCCTCTTCGGCCGCTATTGCCAGAAGTCTCTTTATCTTTGTGCAGTTCGGCGCACGGGACAATGCACTTGTTACAGGCCGCCAAGTGTGGACAAAATGCCCAAGTCGCCACTCGATTGCCCCTCGAGGGCACTCGAGTTGTCTACGAGCCTGCTGTAGCGGAGAGAGGTCGAGAGAGAACCGAGAGACAGAGAGAAAGAGAACTAGAAAGAGAGAGAGAGAGAGAGAGAGAGAGAGAGAGGAACAGAGCCGGCGAGAGAACCGGCGAGAGTCGGAGAAAGACAGGGACGGTCTGGTCTGCCTTTTCCACCCCCGATGAATCGATCTCCCGCTGCAACCAGCTACCTCCCACCCTTGGCCCTTCGCCGGTCCGGCCCTATCGCAAACACTTTGCGTTACCAATCGACGTATATACCGGCACGCTGTCCCTAATGACTGTTAAATCCCCATTATTGCGTACCACGTGCTCTCTCTCTGGGGTTGCCGGCTCGCGCTTAAGAATTCGTTTCGCGACCACCCGGCGCGCGACGATGAGCAATCTGCGACGTCTTCGGATCGCGTGCAAACCGCGCCAGCTGTTCCATTCGATCGCGGTTAGATGCGAGAAAGGACGCGGATAGACGCGAGTCGGAGGACGGATCGCAGCGGAGCGTGCGCGGAACGCGGACAAGTCAGCCGAAAAATCGTAGCGGGCGATATTTTAATTTCGAGGCACCCCGATGCGGTTCGAGGAAGAAATATAGCTCGCACAATTTGCCCCGGAGCTCTATTCGGAGTTCTGGTTGCGCGAGGAGCGGCTACGGGCAGAGCTATCCGCGGAAAGTTAAGTTCCCCGCTGCATTGTTTCCAGGAGTGTTTGCACACAACCGCATTGTTCCTGAAGAGCAAGCACACTCTCGCTCCCGGCGTCCACAATGGCCGTGTACCGTGCACGTCGGGCCCTGCCTGTGCGTGAAGAGGAGCGAGAGAGAGAGAGAGAGAGAGAGAGAGAGAGAGAGAGAGCGAGAGAGCCAGCAGGAAAAGCCACAGCGGGTACTTGCGGAGAATTAACCGATTTTACCAAATACGCGTTTCAACCGGCAATTCGACGCCGCGTCTCGGCTGACTGCGCGATCTTTATTGCGAAGCATCTCGACGTACCCGGCGGCGTCTCCTCCCTCGAGCGGCCAAACGACTTCCTAGCAACCGAACGATTTCCTAACGACCGCCCGCGATAACGTTCCCGATCGCGCGAGATCGAGGCGACGAAACCCCGAAGAACGGCGATGGGCGCAGCCGAACATTTTGTTCCCGCGGCGCACGAAATTCGTTCCGCTTTTCCGCGAAAGCTCTTCCCCCGAAAGAAGGCCGCGCGCGTCCCCCGACACTCGAAAGTCGAGGGCGGATTTTTCGACGGAACAAAACCTGTCCACGAGCGTCTTCCAGCGCCGTGATCGTACTTGAATGCCTCCGCTAAGAAGTGGCATCCGCGTAGTCACGGGGAAACGTTTCCCCGGCGAGCTCCGCTCGGCATTCAATCGCAACTTGGCTCACGGAGGAGCGCACCGTGTTTTGTTGCGCGTTCATTGAGCGTAAAACTTAATTCCCGTGGAAACGCCATAGGCTGTGCCCGCGTATTGCCGGTGCCGCCTATACACGCGCACGTCGGTGCGTAGCTCTGTTAGGGGTTGCTCTTTCACTCGGATAGTTTAGTTTTTATTCTCGGCACGGAGAGAAAAAGATTCCGCCCGTAGGTCGGTGCCGCGCCGCCGTACCCTCTTCCTCCCAGGGATGAACTCTCTTTCTTTTCTTCCAGTTCCAACGTTTCCTTTCTTCCAACAATCTCATTCTATCTCCATCGCCGAGAATCCAAGGAAACTTGCCGGCTCGGCGTGACGGCTCGTCACGAAGGATCGCGGCGACCACCCCGCGTTGCTCCCTTCGGTCGCGCACCTTCCCCAAGATCGGCACCGTTTCCCGAAGACCCTTCACACGCGGTAACACCGATGATGGAGAACGCTGCTCGGCGACCCGCGAATTCCCTGAATTCGTAGTTCCTTCGGGACAAGTTCCTTTTCCGCGCCGCGTTCCTTCTCCGAGATCTTTATTCGCCCTCCGGTCGGTGCATGTTCGTCGAGATCGTTCCTCGAACGCTGCTTGGCGACCCGCGAATTCCCTGAATTCGCAGTTTTTCCAGGACATGTTCCTTCTTCGAGATCTTTATTCACCCTTCGGTCGCTGCGCGCTCGTCGAGATCGTTCCTCGAACGCTGCTCGGCGACCCGCGAATCCCCCAAATTTGCAGTTTTTCCGGGATAAGTTGCTTCTTCGATATCTCTATTCGCCCTCTGGTCGGTGCGTGCTCGTCGAGATCGTTCCTCGAAAGCTGCTCGGCGACCTGCGAATTCCCTGAATTCGCAGTTTTTCCAGGACATGTTCCTTCTTCGAGATCTTTATTCACCCTTCGGTCGCTGCGCGCTCGTCGAGATCGTTCCTCGAACGCTGCTTGGCGACCCGCGAATCCCCCGAATTCGCAGTTTCTCCGAAGTAAGTTGCTTCTTCGAGATCTCTATTCGTCCTCCGGTCGATGCATGCTCATCGAGATCGTTCCTCGAACGCTCTCTTCTCGCTCCCCTCGAGAGCCGTCCGTTCTTCCGGAACGCACCGTTCGCTGTTACAGGATGCTCTCTTGCAAGAATCGCGATACTCTCTTAGCTATCTCGCGAGGAATACGCGAGGAATCCGCGACGAACCGGGAGGAACCGGAACCGATACAGTTTTCCGCGAAGCATACGGAAACCCGGCACCGACTAGGATTCGAAGCGTTCTCCGCTCCCGCGAAGGACGCTACGTCGCGTATACACGACGAGGAGACGAAGGTCCTCCTCGTGGAAGGCGGACCTTAACCGGGAGGGAGGCAAGCCAAGAAGATTACCGTAAGCAGATTATTTCCGTGGAAATCCTGCTGGCCAACTCTCTCGGTCTACGGACTACGGTCCACGAACCCACGATCTACGGTCTACGGTGTCTACGCAGGTACACGCTCGACCGTTTTCGGGACGAATTCGCGCGAGAGATTGGCATCGCAGCTCGGGGCCGGCCGGCCGGCGAGTGCCTGCGAGCGTTCGAAACGCTGTGTCGCCAGCGGTCTTCGCGCGAGTCCTGCGGCCGTTCCAAGCCTAAACGCCGAAGAGATGGCCGTCGGTGCGTCGTCGTTCTCGCGTGTGGAACGCCGAGAAAAAAAAACGTCCGGGATCGCGCGGTACCGCGGCGTCGCTTGTTCGCGAGTAGGCGCGCGCTCGCGTAGACGGAGAGTTCATGAATCGCTCGATAAAACGGCGATGCCGGAAGAAATACGAGCGGATTAAATTTTTAGCCGGCAGAGGCTCGCGCGATTATTTAGCCGCGGACGCGACAACGTACATTTTGCCAGTGAAAAGCTCTCGACGCCGGTTGCGATTAATAAAACGCTCATCAACGCTTGCGCGAAAGACTGGGCCGGATTAACTTTTTCCTACGGCGGCGTATCGTTTACTCCGCGAAATGTAATGGCGTAAATGCTTTCACTCGCCGAGGAAAATGCGGGGCTCCCGTCGTCGAACGATCGCCGGGTACAACGATGCTCTCGACGTTCCCGATCAATTAGCGCGTTTTCTCGCAAACCGTCGCGACTCGATGGAAACTCCGACCGCTGTTCCAGCAGGAATTCTCCTCTCTCGCGAATATTGCTTGCACGCGGAAACTTATAAGCACGTTCTCTCTCTCTCTCTCTCTCTCTCTCTCTCTCTCTCTCTCTCTCTCTCTACGGACGAATGGAAGCCACGGCGTACGGTTCGCCGATCAAATTCCTTGAATCCCTGAGGTTTTTGCCCACCGGACCGCTCGACTATCGGTTGATTTGGTCGCCCGGCTTTCGCTCTCTCTCTCTCTCTCTCTCTCTCTCTCTCTCTCTCTCTCTGCGAGAGCCCTCCGCTTCGTCCTCCGCTTCGTCCTCCGTCAGCCTCGTCCCTTCTTTGTTCTTTCTTTTCTTTTTTGCTTGCCCCGTTTACCGGAAAACGTCGTCGCGCAGGCAACACACCACCGCCATCGAATATTTCTCTCGAGGCGACGTCGCGGCTTTCGCGAGCGAACGATTCCTAATCTAATTAAAAAAAGAAAAAAGAAAAGAAACGATCGGCGCACGAAAAAAACGTTCGACGGAAGGGGTGTTGTGTGGGGGAGGGGCGAAAGACACTCACGATCGCTCCTGCTTGTAAATATCACGAACAGCGGCAGCGAAGTGACTCGCAAAACACAAGATTCCGACGTGCTCGCGAAGGGAAGCCCGCTCACTGTTACGAAACGAGTAAACATCCGATCGATAGGCGCGTTCGCTGACGATTCTTGAACACCGCCGATACGATACGGGTACACGGCTCGTCGATTATACCCCCGGGTAATAGCCGGCTGGATCGTCGCGTTCCACGGCCGACTGTCGGATTTTTACGCGCCGCCAAGGGGACGTTCGTTGTCGCGAACCGGAACTCGTTCGACCCCCGCTTCCACTGCGCGGCGGCGGCGGGACAGGGTAAACATATCGCGGCGGCAGCGGCGGTGGCGGCGGCGGCACCACACCGATATCTCGCGCGCGGTACACACTGGGATTTCTTTTGGTTTGGGCGAGCCGTCCCGGGTTCCCGGTCACCGCGTCACGTCGCGACGCCGTCGTCGTCGTTCTCCGGTTTCGCGGGGAGGTCGAATGAGAACGCGCACGCGGTGCTTCTGCCACGGGGTTGTCTGGGTTCGCGGAGAGAAGGGTGTTCGCCGCGCAAACGTCAAACAGCCGTAGAGAGTCTACTCACCGTTGGTACGCCGGGATCGTCGCCGATGATATTCCTCGTCTCGTGCCGGTTAATCCTTGCCGAGGTGTCGTCCCGATGGATGCAAGGTCGGCCCTGTTAATGCCCGGTGGCGTTCGACAGGGTCGAAAGCGAAGGTTAGGTATCCGGTTAGGTTGGTCGCACGGCACACACGCTCGCCGCTACTGCCGCGACGTTTCGCACTACCGAGTCGACGAAACCGATAGAGTGTGTATCACGGATATGTAGACCGATAATGACTATTCTATTCGCTAATCCGTCCGCGTCTCTCTCCTTCTCTGTCTCCCGACACTGTCCCCTTTCTCTATCCCTCTTTCTCTTCCTCCGCGTGCGTCGGTCCCTCTTCCTCCCTCTTCCTCCCTCGCTCTCTCCCTCTCTCTCTCTCTTTTCTTCTGTCCCTCTCTTTCTCTTTTCTTCTCTCTCTCTCTCTCTCTCCCTCTCCTGTCTCTGTTTATCCGCGAGCCTCCGTCTCTCTCGCGTCGCGTTCGCACGTTTCGGTCCGTAGGTCCGTCTCTGTCTTGCTCTCCTTGTTCGGTGTTCCGTGTGCGGGATGTGGGACAGACCCGGGACAGATGGACAGGGATAGACGGTAGATAGGCAGGCAGAGAGAGCAGCGAGCGCGCGGCTAGGCTATTATAGCAGGAGGGCGTAGGAGAGCCCAGCTCAACTTTTCACGAGAACTTTAGTTGTTACGGATCGCTCTCTTGGCCGAGGGGTTATGCGCGAGGGGGGCGCTCGTTCGTCGCTTGCTCGCGCCGAACCGCGCCGTGCCGCGCCGCTCCGCTCCGCACCGCACCGCACCGCACCGCGCACCGCACCGCACCGCACCGCACCGCACCGCACAGCACCGCACCGTTCCGCTCGGCTCCGCACCGTTTCGCACCGCACCGTACCGTACCCGTACCGCACCGCTCCGCACCGCACCGCACCGCACCGCACCGCGGGAGAACGGACCGCGAGCAGCAGCGAATCTTTCGGGGTGGGTCGAAGGGAGGCGACCAAACGGGCCAAGAGGGGATGGGGTGCGAACTCCGACCGCCGCGTCCGCGAGTAGAGAGGGGCACCGGTGTTCCGATGGTAGAGAGGAGCCCGCGGAGGAACGACGCGCAGACAGAGAGAACGGCTCCCGATCGCCTGGACCGACCGAGACGGAAATCGTGTCGCGTTTGCGCGGACCGAAAGAAAGAACGGGGGAGAGAACCGGCGCGGCGAAATTGCCCTCGCGAACCAAGGAGAAAGGGAAGACCAGACACGGACGGAGCCCAGCTCGGAGCAGGAGTGAGCGAGACCGAGCCGTGGGTGCTTCTGAAGCGCGACTGCTCGTCGAAAGTCGGCGTGGCGATAGGAGGAGCATCGGGGCCGGCTCGCCTGGCGGGGAGCCAATAGGATTGGCCGGCGAGAACCCACCTAACCGACCTAACCAGCCGCGATGGCAACGCTTCCGAGCCACGACACCCGAGCGAAGCGAACCGACGTTACCTACAGTCCGTCTCTAAAAATATATTCGAGCACCGGTCCTCGACTTCATCCCTTCTCTCCGTTTCGCCATTTCCCCCTCCCCCGTTGCCCTTTTGCCATTTCCCTTCGCCCTTTCTCTCTCTCTCTCTCTCTCTCTCTCTCTCTCTCTCGCTCTCTCTCTCGCTCGCTTTTTCTCGCTCTCGCTCTTTCTTCCCGTTTCTTCGGGCAAACCATACGGCGAAGACGCGCGCGCGTACATCGGGGCAAAAAGACAGATTGATATTTCTTCCCTATCGGTCTATCGGTCGGTCTATTCGGCCGGTTGTTCTCCGCGAGGGCGAATCCTCGCGAGAATGGACGCCGTTGGAAAAGTCGGCGTAATCGCTCCGAATGCCGTTCGCTTCCTCGCGAACGATACCGCCGATTTCTATGCGCAAGAGCTCGAATTCGAGAGTGAGCTCGGTCTCGAGCATCTTCGTCGTCGTTCGATCCGTTGAAACGTTCTCGATTAATCCCGTTACGCCAGAAGAAGGCACCCGTTCGGCGGGTTGCCGCCTTTTTTTTCTCCTCTCCCACCCCCTTTTGCGAAACATCGATCTTCGGCTGCGATACACTCCTCCTTTCGTTACGCTCTGTAGCCAGGTGATAGCTACATAGGCCGGCGTATACCCACAACATAGCAATTTAACTTGCTCACGTGCGAGCGGTTAATGCTCTTACGGGATTTCGAAAAGATCAGCCAGCATTACTATGCTATTAGCGTAGCTAAAACCGGCTTGCTTCCATAAACCTATACTAACATGCAACCACTTTATTCACACCGGCCCATTCACGTACTCTTAGCCAATTTTCCTCATTGACCGATTGACTTGTCGCGCGAGTCCTCGACACGCGACCGTTTCGGCCACCAAACTTGCTCGTCCCTTTGCCAGCGAACGATGGCTACGGACGATCGAACGCGCCGAAATTGCGTCGGCGAGCGGAAAAACTCCGCGCGAGAACGAATTTCCGTGCTCGTCGGACGGCCGGCGTTCGTCGGCCATGCCGCAGACCCGAGTATTGCAACGCGTTAAAATGAAAAGCATCGATCTCGCTTCGCCCCGTGTAATTAATTAATTAATTGGTAGATCGTACGATCTCTAACATCCTATTACACGGTACATCCTATACGCGTAATATCCTCGCGTACGATCCCTCCGCGCGATATCCAGCTAAGCCGAGAATATAGGAAAATGGGCGAACCGTGCTGCTTGTCTCTCCGGTCGATTCATTCGCGGACAGAACGTTTTTTAACGCGAGCCTCGCGGCTCGCCCGGGTGACGCGTCAACGACGACGACGACGACGACGGCGACAGCTCGCGAAAAAACAATATTCGAACAGCGTTATCTGGCATTTTCGCAGCACACTTAACGCCCGCCGGCTCCGTGACGGGAACGAGAACGTACGTTCGCGCGCCTTCGTTATCTCTCGCGGCCGGTGCGCCGATCTTAATTAGCGTAACGTGCCGCTTAAAGATGATTACACGCGTCGTCGACCGAAACAAACTGTAACAAGTGGGGATTGCCCGTGTGGTGGGTATCTGGTTCTTGACCGCATTAAAAACGCAGCCGGTCGGAAAGGAAAGGTTTGCCGCGCGCGCGAATCGACAGTTTTCCGTGCCCGGTTTTTCCGTCGGTTCCGAACCTCTTGATGCTTCGAAGAAGAAAAAAAAAGAGAAAAAGAAAAACGATCGATCGGTCGACGAACCGCGCGAGACGATCCAAAGACAACGCGGGGTAACATTGGATTTCGGGGTTGCAGCGATCGTCTCTGGATACACACAGAGTCGCTTAAGGGCAACTGTCTCGTTAAACGATCGATGCTCGGCGTCCCGTGGCACACCGCGAAAGCGCATTCGAACAGGGCTTAAAATACTCCGGGGTTTTATATAGAATGTAGTTCATGCTCATCATCCCGAAGATCAGCCGGCTGAGCCGTTCGACAAACCGTTCGAACAAAAAGCGCTGAAAAAAAGACAACTCGGTGCAAATAACCTTTGCTACGTTCTCCTGGTCTCCCCCTTGGCCTCTTATCTCTCTTTGTCTCTCCACGTCTTTCCCTCCGTTCCGATTTCCCTTGGTTCTTTCATCGATTCGCAGCCTCCCTCCCCTTTCGCCCTGCTCGCGTCCCTGTTTCACCTTTCCCGTCTCTCTCTCTCTCTCTCTCTCTCTCTTTCTTTCTTTCTTTCTTTCTCTCTCACTCTCTCTCTTTCTCTCTCTCTCTCTCTCTCTCTCTCTCTCTTTCTCGATCCTGTTCCGTCTCCTTTCAGTTTTCTTCTGGTTCCGACGGTTCGAACGGCGACTATGTAGGTGCCCACGGGCGCCCTCCCTTTCTATCCCGTGGCCTCATAGGGCAGAGCTCATTGCCGAGGAGAACGCGAGCGGCAGAGGGAGAGGAAGGAACACAGACAGAGGGAGAAAGGGAGAGAGCGGAATTTGAAACTGAGGCAAGCCGCTTATGAAGCTTTCGTGTAAATCACCGGTGAAAGTCACTGAGTTACTAAGTCAATGAATTACCCGGCTCGGCGACCGAGTCAGCCGAGGTCACACACGTCTCGGGGTTACACGGCATTACCATTCTCCGTCATGAACCTCGTAACGCCGATCTTCCCTCGATCGAGAGAACGGCCGCGTCCGCGTCCGCGACCGACGAAAGGCTTCCGTCTCGCGCGCGCTCGTATCCCCCCGCTGGTACGTGTACATTCGATTACATACGGAGGTATGTAACGCGGGGGTGGGTACGGATAGCTAGTTTCCTCGGGATCTGGTTCCGAACGAAGCGAAAGGCTGCGATATTAATTGGATCCCTTCGACGGCTCCTCTTTCTTAATCCCGCGATGAATCACCGCGACCCGATCCCGGCCCCGATGATCTTTTATCGGGGATCTCTCGCCGGTATTGCTTCCGTCGTCGGACTACCGTTCGATTCACAGAATCATCCGTCGTAATGTAAATTCGATCGACTGCGCCGAACTACACGGGGTACTCTATTACGCGCATTATAACGCTCGGGGAATCCTCCGGCAGCGCCCACTCCGCCAACAAATCCCGCTGCCTACGCTGCCATCGAACGCCATTGATAATGATTGATCGCGCGGCAACGCAGATAGAATCGCCGCGACCCGACGGAAATGTTCTGTTCAGGTGGATCCAGAATCTTCGAGCGGTCTCTCTCTCTCTCTCTCTCTCTCTCGCTCCGCTCT